ACAADTAGAACAAAATAAAACTGAAATAAATAACAACTGAAATAACCAACTGATCACCAGCTAACCCTAGGATGACTAGAACACATTCTACCCTACAGACACAGTGGGACCACAGTTGTGGGGCCCACATCAGTGTTCTCTACAAATACAACAAGGATTACACTAATATGGTACAGTAGTGAGACTCTTCACACTCCCCCTCAAACTGATGCAAAGGCATGAGCATCAGCTTGTTTACAAGGAATAAGTGTCTGGATTTCGTCATGGCCTTTGTGAAGATGTCTTCAACTTGCAAATTGGAGGCAAATAGGCAATATGAGGGAGAGAGATAGAGCCCGCAAGAAGTAGATCACGGATAAAGTGGCAGTCCACCTAAATATGCTTCATCCTTTCATGAAAGACAAGATTAGAGACAATCTTAATAGCACTAGTGTTGTTTGCATATAGAGGAATGGGTGTAGGAGAGGGATGACCCAATTCCTGCAATAAAGATTGAAGCTAAACAACTTCGCTAAAGATTGTTGTTTCTTGCATTTCCATGAGATTAGAGAGTCACCCATGAAGACACACCACCCAGTAGTGGAACGATATGTGTCGGGGCATCCAGCCCAATTTGCATCAGCATAGGCCTGCAGATGTATAGAAGAGGATGACAAATGGGGTTGACAAGGGGCAGAGCCAAACTGACTGACAACCTGAACTGTATACGAGATGTTAGGATGAATCATGATGAGATAGATGAGAGATCCCACAAGTTGCCTATAGATGGAGGCATCAGGAAGCAAGGGACCGTCTAACTTGGACAATTTGACATTCAGCTCCAAGGGAGTGTCTACCCGTTTATCGTCAGTAAGACCGACCACCTGGACAAGATCAGAGGTATACTTGTGTTGGCAAATGAAGTACCCTCGGGAACACCTTTGAACTTCAAGTCCCAAGTAATAGGTAAGAGGACCTAAATCCTCTAGTCAACAACATGTCATCCACATACAGGAGGAGAATCGTAATACCTTGGGGTCTTTTCTACACAAAGAGAGAGTAATAAGAAGCACTCCGGTTATACCCAGCTTGCACAACAACATCTCTGAATTTTTCAAACCAAGCTCAAGGAGCTTGCTTTAGCCCATAGAGAGATTTCTTCAACCGACAGACGAGGGAGGGATCACTACAGTACCCTGGTGGCGGTTTCATATAAACCATCCCTTTTAGGTTCCCATGTAGAAAAGCATTTTTCACATCTAGTTGAAAGATAGTCCAAGAGTGTGTAGCAGAGAGGGCTAAGAGAACACGGACTATAGTGATCTTGGCTACTGGGGAAAATGTATCCTCATAATCGATGCCATATAGCCCTAAGCCACGAGTAGAGCTTTATAGCGGTCTAGAGACCTATTTGATTTCAACTTGATGGAGTAGATCCATTTTCTCCCAATAACAGAGCCATCTGAAGGTGCTGGAACTAGGTCCCAAGTGTCATTCTCATGCAAAGCTTGAATCTCGACATCCATGGCATCTTTCCACTGAGGACTGCTAATGGCCTGTTGGTATGAGTGGGGAATATCTGTGGAAGACAACAATAGAAAAGGAGTTATGATTTGAAGGAAAACCATAGCGGTCAAATGGTCTAGATATACGGGTAGAACGGTGTAAAGGAACAAGAGGAGCATCCAAGGGATTTGAAATAGGAGTGTCACTTACAGGGTTATCTGAGATGGGCGAAGGATCCAAACCGGGAGGAGGGGGTTGTAGAGGCAAGTACTGGACCACGAACTTGCTTGCGAGAGAAGACAAGAAGATATTTCCTAGCAATTGATGACGAAGCATCCTGTGAGTCAAAATCATACAAAACAGAAATGGAGGGTGCAGAGAACTTGGCAACTCTTGAGAAAAAAGAGATATGCTCAAGAAAAATCACATTCTGAGAAATATGAATACGATGTATAGAGGGATCATAGCAAAGAAACCCCTTGTGGTTAGGACTATATCCCACAAAAGCGTACATGACAAATTGAGCTGAAAGCTTTGATTGTTCATGAGGGGGAAGATATACAAAGCAGACACCCAAAAACATGAAGATGGGAAAGATCTGGGGGGGATCCAAACATCTTTTGATAAGGAGACATGTTATCAAGGACTGATGAAGGGATATAATTAATCAAATGCACAGCCGTACTAGCGGCCCCATCAACCCAGAAGGTGGAAGGCGCATGTGACTCTTGTAGGAGAGTCCTCACAACATTGAGAATGTGGCCATTCTTCCGTTCTGGCACACCATTTTGCTGAGTGTCTAGACAGCACTGTTGGACTTGTATGTCATGATTTTTCAAATAAATTAGAAGTTCTCCGTCACTGTATTCTCCCCCTGAGTTGGAGTGTAAGGTTTGCACACTTGCTTGAAACCGAACTTGAACCATGGTATGAAACAACCGAAAGGTTGGGAAAACTTCTGATTTGTGTTTGAGAAAGTAGATCCAAGTGTACCTAGTACAGTCATCAATGAAGAGTACAAACTATGTGTATCCCAATCGAGAAACAATAGATGAACCCCAAACATCACTATGTATAATTTTAAAAGGTGAAGTAGCATGTTCAGCTGTGAGTGTGGCAAATACGACTCTTACTCAAACAACAAGAAACACAAGATGTATCAAAGGATTTTAGAGAATGAACTTTAGTTCTAATAAAACCAGACTCAAACAAATATTTAAGTTTTTTCAAAGTTTGGGTGACCGAAACGTTTATGCCACAAATCCCAGACATCATTTCTCTGACCCAAAACAAGACTCAATGTAGAAGAGCTCAAATAAGTAGATTATGGTGCTGATTGTGATCTCTCAAACTCCAATGCAAACAAGCGGCCTAGCCTACGCCCCTTCCCTTTCACCTTCCCAGTGCATTGGTCCTGAATCAAACAACCATCAAAAGAAAAAGTTAGAATGTGACCTTCATCAACTAGTTGACCAACTGAAATAAGATTAGCAGTAAGTTTAGAGACAAGGAAGGTCTTGGAAAGGGACAAGGAGTTTGAGGGTGAGAGTTTGAGACACAAATCATCACTCCCGACTGAGTCAGAGCAGCCCGGACAACAGCTAAGGTGTCTAGGGACATGGCTCTTCTGCCCGATAAGGTTGCACAATCAATAGTAACAGCCACATTGGCATTTCCCCTTTTGTTTCTAAGTTTTGCTGGATTAGATGGGGATGTAACTTCCAATAGGTGTCTTTAGTATGCTTAGGTTTCTTGCAATGTTCACATACTAGGTCACTGAGTCCCTCTTGTCTTCCTTCATATCCCTCTCCTTATCAGCCCCGAACTTAGGTTTAACTACTGCCAAGGCTGATTCAAAATGCTGATGCTGCAACATAACCTTTCTCCTACTCTCTTCACGGTGCACTAAGGAGTAGGCTTGTGATAGAGTTACACTGTCTCTCGTGAGGAGTTGTTGTCTCACAATATCATATTTAGAATTCAGACCGGCTAGGAACTCAAACACCCTATTAGTTTCAACCTGCTTTCTATAAGTCTGTGCATCCTTCTGACTTTCCCACTCAATTGTTTCTAGGTGGTCAATTTCATGCCATAAGGATTTCAAGGTTGAGAAGTAAACCGAGACTGGTTTCTCTCCTTGCTTAAGATTATTAACCTCACATTTCAGCTCATAAGCCCTTGCAACATTAAGGGGTTGGGAGTAGGTCTCTTTCATGATGTCCCAAATTTCCTTAGTTGTTTTTTCCCACAAGTAGTTTCGGCTGATATATGGCTGCATGGAGTTGCACAACCATGCCATAACCAAATAGTTCTCCTGAACCCATTAGGCATAGGTTTGATCCTCCTTAGTTGGTTCCTTCACATCCCCCAACAAATAATTCAGTTTTCCTCTACCCCCAATGTCCATCATGGCTGATTGGGCCCATTCTAAATAATTTGATCCATCAAACTTGACAGTTGTAATCTGAAAGGTATTCTCAGACATGTTTATAGAATCACCAGCCCCAAAACACCTTCCCCTCGATTCTTAAACTCCATTCTTGTTAAGATATTAATAAAAAAACACCCTTTTTAGCACTGGGATAAGTAAAACTGCACCCAGGAACTGATAACAGCCGACATAGGAGGGTGAATTAGGTTCAGCAATTACCCAGAAATAATAAACAGCTCTACTAGATCTCCAGAGAACTAAAAAACACTCAGTCTGGAATGAAACAGGTCCAACTACTGTCCCGGAATTAACAACAGTCTTGATTTTTAGGGTTTTCTTTTAAAACCCTAAAAAACTCAGGAGAAGAGAGGAGATTTCCCAACCGCACCTCTCAGAATAAACAAAAGAAATCTTTTTTTAGATCGATCTCAAGGAAATCAACTTACTTCAGGAAAAAACTCTTGCCGCCACCTTCTAACTGATGTCTGAACCCTAATCTTGAGGATTCAAACCTTCTTCTGATTCTTCCTGATCGCTGGATCTCTCCAAGGCTCTACAGCCTCTTGAGTAGCAGCCGCACACTGCCAGCAATCTCCCAGAATCAGCCGATGACCTTCTTTCTGCTGGAACTTCCAAACCTAGGAATTTCTCATGTAGTCGGCCTGATTAGACTAGCATAAGAACTCCTAGGTTGGCTCTGATGCCAAGTAGTCAAATAGGACTGCAATCAGTCATAGGTTTAAAGTGTAATAAACAAGGAAAGATTGAGGAGATAAGAAGACGAAGAGAAGAGGAGAAGAACTCGAAGAAGAGAATTCAGAAAAGAGAGAGGATTAACCAACTGTCGCCCCACTCTTACAATTTATATTAATGCTGAAATAAAAGTAAAAGGGCTGAGTTACCCTTAATGCTTACATGGCAAAATAATAAAAATAACTAATAACTAAAACTGAAATAAACTACCAACAGAAATAACTAACTGCTAACTACAATCATACGAACACAGTGGGGACCACATCAGTGTTCTCTACATGCTTCATTCTGATATAATTGGAATTTAATTGTCTGGAAATTTCACTTGCAGGTAACTTTCTCCTTTCCTTTAGACCCGAAGTTACAGAATACATCAAAAATTCAGGACAACCAGTTTCCGTAGAATGGACAGAAGAGTTGAAAGGTGACAAAGCTGTTAGAATCTCTGGAGTATTTGATAAATTAAGTTACAGGCTGAAGAAAGCTTTTGGCATTGGATCAGTAAAATCTTTCCTCAGTACTGCACATTGTTCCCTCAGTGTTCAAGGCACATATTCCACAAATCTACATTTTCTCATTCAGAACATTGTAAGAAAAATACCTGTTATACAACCTGATAATAGTGATCCACCAAAAGCTAATAGTTCACCAGTTGCACTACAAGAACAGAAAGAAATCTTTATTCTTCCTACAGTCCAAGTGTGCAATCTTCTGCAAACAGAGATTTATGTGCTTCTGACTGAAAAACATCCAGGTAATAATACAAAGTATGGAACAAGGTTTCTGGTTTTGATTTTGCTTATGTAGTTGGTTTCTTTGGTGCAGATCTTTGTACCATTGTAGGAAGTGAGAACATTGGAAAGGAAGCAACTATTCCTTGTGGATCTACTTATTATTTCTATGCAAATCCTTCTATAATATATTTCATGGTTACTTTGACTCCCTTCAATACACAGTGCAAACCTGTAAACAGTGGTGATTGGGTTAAGAAGTTGCATAAGCAGAAAGATGATGTTCATTATTTGGATATAAATTTGGATTTTGATGGTGGGAAGTACTTTGCCTTGTTAAGATTATCACGAGGGGAAAGGGGCATACTGGAGGTATCACAGCTTTTATTCTTAAATGAGTAGGCAATGTTGCATTTGTAGTCATCTTGCCATGTTATTCATGTTTTTCACACATATACTAGTTGAATATGTAGTTTCATTAATTTTAATGATCTTGATATTCCATTGCAGGCCACTATTTTTACACCATACATCCTACAGAACAACACTGATCTTACCTTGTTTTGCTTTGCATCCAATCAGAGGCTTCCATCCAGGTAGTCATCAAGATCTTCAATGACTTCTGCTTTCGTCATTGTTGACATTAACAGCCTAGAACTTATGCAGGAATGAGGCTGATAAATTTGCTTCCACCCTCCCTCCTGAGCTTGGGTTGTTGTTGCCCCCACAGTCAACTAGATCATGGTTCTTAAAGTAAGACTTAGCATTGTCTGGTACTGTAATCATATAGAAATCACACCACCTTCTCTCCCTGATTCTACATGTGCATGGTGTGTTCATTCATTTCTGTGTCTGCATGTGTGCATCCAATGTGTGATTCATGTGGCTACAGTTTCAAATTGAAGTTTAAAAAAATTAATCATGATGCTTTTGATTATGTTAATACCTTACATGTTTTATGCTACCAGAACTAAGAAGGTACACCTGAAACTGTTGGAAAAGAAAGCATCTGAAGTGCTGCTAGATTTGGATGTTCTATCAGTATTTACAGAAGTGTCCCTAGAAGTTGAGAACAGTGCAGGGGTCAAGCATGTTGCGAAGCTGGGAGTGTCATTAAAGCCATGTCTAGCTAAAGTAGTTGTACCTTCACATTTAGTACTCGTAGTTCCAAGATATGTTGTATGCAATGAATCAAAACAGGTTGTTATTGTCCGCCAGTGCTATTTGGAGGTTTGCTTATAACCCTTTTCAATTATTCCTTTGTTGATTTTATGTATATGATGTTCTTTCTTATTTGTACCTTGTTTGGGTTCTATAATGCTATTTGTTTGTATTGATAGGATGATATAGATGGCACGGTTGTAAACAGCAATGAGAAAGTAGCATTGCAGCTGAGAAAGGGGACAAGAAAGGAGAGGGAAATCAGCTTCTTTGATTCTTTGATCCGGAAGCACAGAAATGTGAATGAGGATTCCCTAATATTTATTCAGTTTCGGCTAAATGAGATCGGATGGAGTTGGTCTGGTCCAATATGTATTGCTTCACTTGGACACTTTTTTCTTAAGTTCAAAATGTCCTTGGATTCTCTTGGAAATCAATCAAGTTCACCAACTGCTAAAGAAGACAAGTTAACAGAATTCGCATCCGTCCATGTGTTAGAAGAAGGTTCTACCCTAGTTTTGCACTTCCATAGACCTCCAGATGTTAACCTACCCTACCGAATTGAAAATTTCTTGGGTGGTGCATCTATTACATATTACCAAAAGGTTCTGTCCTTTAATCTCTCAATTTGTTCTCCTTTTAGAAACTTGATGGATATATATATTGGAATACTCATACTTGTAGTATCATTTTCTAATTGTATGGTTCAATTCTTTTGTTTCCAGGACTCTTCAGAATCAGATATTCTGGCATCTGGAAATTCAGTCAATTATGTCTGGGACGACTTGAATTTGCCACATAAACTGGTTGTTCAAATTAGTGGTATGTTCTGATGGGCCTGCTGCTCCATCTTTAGCTAATGCTGACCTAGCTGCCAAGTATATGAAAGGTTTAATAATGTAAAGTTAGTTAGGGATCTTCGAAACATAGAACTTTCATAGGCAGAAAATTTATGCAACCAATTTGGGTCTTGTCCAGAAGCAGAAGAGAAGAGAGAAGAGAGAAAGAGAGAGGAGAAAAAGAGAGAGAGAGAGAGAGAGAGAGAGAGAGAGAGAGAGAGAGAGAGAAAACTGTAGCTGGCGGCACCTGCTTTTTGGTATTTATATTAGGGCGACCATAACATAACATAAAGTGGGGGGAATTACAATAGTACCCCTGCGACACTAATCGGAAATAAAAACAAAGAAAACAACTTATAAACAGTCTTTTAACAGGTTCTGATTTTTCACCAATAGTTTTGCTCCCACTGACCATTTTGTGATGTGCCTGGTACAATCAATTGCATTTTAGAGAAAGCACTGTCATGCATATGTTGATCTTAATTTCTGTTGTACCATACGAGCATGGATAATCAAGGTTATGCTTTTAACATGTAAGACTAGTGCAAAGGCATCCGTTATTAGGGGAATATAAATCAAATTGAAGATTGGTAGTTAGTATGGCTGGCAGTCTAACACTTGGACATGCTTTTGTCTACTCTAAATTATTTTCTGAGTTATTTGTGTTTCTATCATCCATGTCTATTCAGATGTCAACCCTCAACTTGCTGACTATTTTCCTTCTGTTCATTAGGTGTGCAATTATTACGTGAAATTAACATTGACAAGGTTCGGGTGTGGAGACCCTTTTTTAAACCAAGGCAATATAGAGGATTGGGACTGCCTTTAGTTTTAGACAGGAAACCAGGGGACAAGAGAGGTAATATTGATGAATCATATAGCCTGGATATGTTGAAGGTGGGGTTTGAAGTATTTGCAGATGGTCCTACACGGGTCTTACGAATTTGTGAGTGTCCTGATAGTCGCAAGGAAGATTCACTATTTCAACCATGTGCAAAGATTAAACTTAAAGTCTCCCTTTTTTCTTTCCACTTATTCGAGAAAGGAAATCAGGTCAGTCTCTGGGTTCATCAAATGTCCTTGTTCCAAAATGCCTTCTTTTCCTTCTTCATCCTTGTATATTTGGACATCTTATATTGCATAGTAAAAGTTTAAACTTTTCATCAATTCTTCTTTACTTTCTTGTCTATCTCCAGTTAAATGACTAGTAATTATTAATTCTTATAAGGCAGTTTTCTCCACATAACGTTCTTTATCTTGTATTTAATTTACTGAAGGATATGGATACGACTGAGCCACCAACTTACTCTCCAATTATGGTTGCAAGACTTGGAAACATAAGTGTCGATTCACTATTTACAGATCAGCAAAAACATAATCAGATCAGGGTACAGGTATTATTTGTCTTTTGCCATATGCTTTTTAAAAAGCCATTTGCCTCAATGTAGTAGCTAGTAAATAGTACAGTTGTGGATTTAGTTTCTTTCCTCCATTTTCTAATAGCACTCGTGCCTTTGAATACTACAGTCATTGAATGTGGATGAAAAATGGCTTGGAGCTCCCTTTGCAGCAGTAGTACGGAGAAGCCAGTTAGATTACTGTGACACAAATGACAGCATACTTCATATTGTCTTTATCCTACTTCCAACCAAGTCCAATGTTAAACAAGTTAAATACTCTTCCATTCTTTTGCAGGTAAAATCAAATGATGCATCCAGAGATTAACTCTTGTTTTGTGTTATAACCATTCTACAATAAAAATGTTAGATGTGTAGTTGACTTCAGTGGTGTTGTCATTTACAGCCAATCAATTTGAACCTTGATGAGGAGACTCTAATGAGACTTGTTCCATTTTGGAGATCATCCCTCAGTGACCCAAATGCTCAGAGCCAACAGTTCTACTTTGAACATTTTGAGATCCACCCAATAAAGGTTTGATATTTTTATTCCATTTACTTCTTTGATATATGTTAACTGATCATGTTTGTAGTTGCTGATATTTTTAATAGCCAGCTAATCCGTGTTCCTCTGTGCCTATAAAGATTGTAGCAAGCTTTGTTCCAGGGAACTCTTATTCAAGTTACAGCTCTGCCCAAGAAACACTAAGATCATTACTTCACAGTGTGATAAAAGTATGTTTCTAACCCATGTTAAACAAGTTTTATCTAAGACTTGATCAGTTTGGAACTTCATGCTCAAGCATATCCTTGGCATTGACTCTCCAATGTTTTCATATTGTCTTATCAGGGTGGATTATAGTGTATATTAATCTATTTCTGGTGTCTCTTTTCTTTATCTGTTTGCATTTTCTTCTAGATCCCCGCTGTAAAAAATAAGACTGTGGAGCTCAATGGCGTATTGGTCACTCATGCTCTTGTTACAGTACGCGAATTGTTCCTTAAATGTGCACAACACTACTCATGGTAAGCCTGCCAGATAAGTTATTCATATGCTTTGCCTTGTTTCATTTTAATTGGTTCAACATTATTGATATGATGATGCCTCATAAATTGAAAATAACTTTCCAGGTATACCATGAGAGCCATCTATATTGCAAAAGGAAGTCCATTGCTTCCACCAGCTTTTGCTTCTATTTTTGATGATTCTGCTTCATCCTCGCTTGATGTATTTTTTGATCCTTCTAGTGGGTTGATCAATCTTCCAGGACTCACCTTAGGTATAGTATTTCTGCTTTTCTTTATTAATTATTTGCTCTTGTGCTTTAATTAATATTATTGTTTGATGCAGTACGCCTAAAATGGATCTAGAAAGTAGTTAGCAATTCTATCTAGTTGGAGTTGCATTTTTCTTTTTCCCTTTTTTTTTTTGAGAAAAGGTAAAGTATAAATGTAATAAGACAAAAGTATAATGTCTTTTGTACAATGAGAAACTGTACAAGTAACTGCCAAATAGGACCTCGCAGAAAGTCCACCCTCAAAAAAGAACAGTCAAGAGAGTTAGCGAGTTACTCTTTCCTTTTTCCCTGTTCTACTTTTTTTCATTTTGCATGGGAGGGGGATGTTTAAGTGAGTTAGTGAGCTTGGTATCAACATACAAAAACTTTACCAACATTAGGAACATGAAGCATGATTGAAAACATATGCTATCATTTACCTGTCAATAAACATAAACACTTGAATGGTAGGTCTATATAGAATGATTAGTTTATATCTGTAGGCCACGTGGAGCTTCTGTTCCTTTGAACCAGGATTTATAGGTCTTCAAATAAGCCATTGTAGACAACGATGAGATTAGGGATGTCAATGGGTTGGGTTAAATGGTAAACCCAGCTTGACCTGACACTATAGGGTCGAGTTAGAGTTTTGGCTGACCTGCCCCATCGGGTCATATTTCCCCTTGCCCCTACACATATATAGGGTATTCTTGTAATTTGTTAACTTCGAACTCCATAACCTCAAAGTTTAGGATTTCTTTTCATTTTTGTTTTGGTTTTTCTTCTTTCAATGACAGAGAGAGTGACATCTTAGAACCTATAAACCCATTTCCAACTTAAATTAATGGCTTTTAGGTTTTCAAAATCTGTTATAAAAAGTACAATTGAAAGGATATAGGTTGGATTGGGTTTAGAAATTACATATTATCAAGTCATGTCAGGTCAGGTCCAGGTTGGGATGCTGGAAGGTTGGGTTAGGGTTGAGGCAAACCTGTACCGAACCCGACCTGTTGACATCCCTAGATGAGGTGTATTAGTTTCTTGTGATTCATCTATTGCCTTGAGTCAAACATAAAAGGAAAACCATGCTAGTAAACTTTGTAGTTCTGATTACAACAGAAGGTGAACAGAGAGAACATGATGCACACCTTTGATCCAGAAAAGCGTCATTAATCGGTATCCACTTTTATGATTGATAGGCAACCAAAATGGTAAAGTAAAGAAAGAAATTATATAGAAAATGAGTACAAGCCAAGGTCCAAGTGGGCTAGATGTTGGGTTTGTTCTTCTTTTGTGGGGAGGAGTTCACAAGGAAGGCCTTTCTGGCTTGGGAGAATAAAAAAAGAATGGAAAGTGCTTCTAGTGATAATGAAAGCATTACTGATGAAGCTTTGGAGGTTGTTGAGTAAGATTTTGAGCTTGGAAGTAGATTGTTATGGAGTGGGGGGAGTTTTGGTCCAAAGTGGAAGGGTTTTTATGGTGTTTCTTTCTCTCAGGCGATTCCTTATCACCTTCCTATTGTATTCTCCATTTATTTTTTATTTTAATCAAGTGTTTATTTTACTATCAAAAAGAAATGAGTACAAGGCGAGCCAGATGACAAAAAAAATATAAACTTAATTGGCCCCCCCAGAAGGTCTATGTCAAGATCCCTCTCTTCTCTATGCACATTACCTTCTATTTTTATATGCTTCCAATGGTATATTCTTGAGTCTTTCCTGTTGTACTTTTTAACCAATGCTTTGTTGAGGACAGGCATGTTTAAATTCATTAGCAAGTCCATCGATAAGAGAGGGTTTTCTGGAACAAAACGCTACTTTGGTGATCTGACTAAAACTGTAAGTCTTGTATCACTGAGATACCTACATAAGAAAATACTACTCAACTATAATTGCAGAAATTATCCATTTTGTGCTGTCTTCCAGATGAAAACAGCAGGATCAAACGTACTCTTTGCTGCTGTTACTGAAATGTCAGACTCTATTCTGAAAGGTGCAGAAACAAGTGGTTTTAAAGGAATGGTACTAATTTCCCTAGCTTCTTATGGTGAATACTATGTTTACATTAATACTTCAATGCATCGGTATTTTAAAGAAAGAACTGTTCTTGACTTTTTTGAATGGATGTTGTGGTATTTTAAAGGTTAATGGTTTTCACCAAGGAATATTGAAACTAGCTATGGAGCCATCACTTTTAGGGAGTGCATTTATAGAGGGTGGCCCAGATAGGAAAATCAAGCTTGATCGAAGTCCTGGGGTTGATGAGGTACCTTTTTCTAACTTCCTTTCTGAGTTTAATGATATTTCGAGCTAAGTTAACCTTGACAATATTTTTAGGTTTTTCTTAAATTCTAAAAAATGTTGTTCAAGTGGGTATTCCTTTAAACAACTTGGTGAACCTACCAGGAGAAGATAGAAAAGGAGAAGGAAGTTTATTGAAAAGAAAGCCTGGTTTCTTATATTGTGCTTTGTTTCTGAGATCATTACTGCAAACTTATTTGGAAATTAAATTGCAGTTATATATTGAAGGGTACCTTCAAGCTATGTTGGATATGACATATAAACAAGAATATCTTAGAGTGAGAGTTGTTGATGACCAGGTGATAGTTCTTTGGTATCCTCTGTTCTTATTTTTATTGTTTGTTTAGTTTTCTTCGACTACAGAGAAGTTATTGAATGTTGGATACAAATATTTTGATGTATGTGAAACATTTATCAATTTTAGTCATAAAGCCCTTGCTGAAAGTTTGTACATCAATTGTAACTTTTGGAGACTTGATACTGCACATTGTTATCATGGTGACAAGGCAAGGCAAGATTCTGCACATAGTTATCAAGACAAGGTGAGATAAGGCCTGAGGGTTGTTGCCTTGTTGCCTAGGCACACACATGAGTGTTTAGTGACACCTATGTGGGAAACCACATAAAAAATGCATGCAAATTTGATCTCGTTTCCATATTTTATGTTTCTAATGTTATATATGCTAGATTGAAAAGGTAATGACAAACCAGTCATCAACAGAGCAACCAACAAGAAGGGGAAATAACGTAGCAAATTAGCAACATATAAACATAGTGGTTTGACAAATTTCTGAACAGTTGTCAATAAATATACCAAAAAGAATATTCAGCATGGAAGTTAGTAATATGCAATTTACAATTTCAAAAAGGTAGCCTAGCAGTCACTTGATTAAACATATAGAAGGGGAAAAAAACAAGCAGCAATTGAGATGAAAAGTAACAATTTTTTATTATCATCTTTGAAATTTGTGGCACTAAACAGAATGAACTGGGAAAACAGGATACGTGTAGCCATCCCCATATGGTTGCCACAAGGCTCAGTTGTTGTCAATGTTCTCTTGCATACGTGGGTAGAAGGGACTTCTCTTACATGTGTGCATGGATGTGAACATGCACATTCAGGAGTAAGAAAGGGGATACGGGAAAGGGGAGAAGATGGTTCCAGTCAGAGGGTGGCCACTTTGTGAAAAGAAGGTTAAAGGTTAGGTCCTTAACCAATCTATCTCTCCCAAAACCATGGATAGTTGGGATCAGCACTTGGCAACGGCCTTAAGGTGGCACAAGGCATGGCACAACTGGTCAATTGTTTGGTCCCTAGTCACTTTGCCCAGGAAACTGCCTTGATAACTATTATTTTTAATTTTGAGCATAATTGTATAAATAATAGAACTATGGAAAGGGGCAGAGGCAGCCCCACCATAAAAAAGTATGGCTGTGCACTAAAACCCATATACAGTACATAATCTATGCCACACTGGACCATTATAAAAGTGATTTAACTCAGACCACTAAATTCTTCTAAAATAGAAACACAAAAGAAGATGGATTTCATCCTTTTCTGTGATTGCATTAGCCAAACATTGTTTCTGCTAAAAATCCTCTTATTCCTTTCCTTCTAGGCACACCAACATATAGGAAATGTCTGAGGTTCCATAAAAATATTTCCTTTTTTGCTGGAAGGGAGTAACCAAGAATTGACCAAGTGCCATCCAAAGAGTTTAAGAAAATGCCACCAAGTGTCCTGGGTGAAGGGGAAATTAATAAGCTGAATTTTTTTTGACTTAGATACATATTTGAAGCTTGCTTAACCAATGCTATCACTAGTAGATCCCTCCATTTATTTTGATATTTTTTTAATTAGTCCAACATGTTGACAGGTGCTCCTCAAAAACTTACCTCCAAATAGTTCCCTAATGAATGAGATTGTGGACCGTGTGAAGAACTTCCTTGTAAGCAAGGCCCTGTTGAAAGGAGAATCTTCAATGACTTCTCGTCCTCTACATCATCTACGAGGAGAAAGTGTAAGTTATTCCACGTATCTTCTGCTTTCTCATAGGGTTGTTCGGGAAATTTCATTTTAGTTACATTCCAAGACTACTGTTCATGGACAGATTTAGCTTTATTGTGATCCATTTTGGCCTTCGTTCTTTCCCATAATTTAACCCACTGAAAATAATTCTTTGATTTTTTTTAGCAGGAATGGAAAATTGGGCCAACAGTTCTCACTTTATGTGAACACCTATTTGTGAGTTTTGCGATCCGCGTGCTGAGAAAGCAAACAGGTAAATTTATGGACAGAATCAAATGGAAGGAGAAATCAAATGACAAAGAGAAGCAAGAAGTGAAACGTAACCTGAAATGGGGGATAAGCAAGTTCATATTCTCAGGAATGATTGCTTATATTGATGGACGGCTATGTCGTTGCATTCCCAATGCCATAGTTAGACGAATTGTGAGTGGATTTTTGCTGAGTTTTCTTGATAAAAAGGACAGTGATTGAATCCATATGATGATTTCATCAAAGGAGTCATTCTAAAAAGGGGATGGCTCAGGAATCAGATTTTACCCTTTGCAGAGCTCTACCACGATCTTCACAGCCACATTGGATATAGTTGCCTAGGTTTAGAGATTACTACTAAAAGCCAGATTGTATAGTCTGGAATCAAAGTTTCTTCAGATGCAGTCTCAATGATGGGAGATGGACTTGTTAGCATCGTTACTTCAAAATATTCAAGCAAATTCCCTCTTACTCAAACTGATTCTAGTCTCTAGAGCTTGGGCTTCATATCCAAATGGAAATTTTCCAGTTCATTCTTTCTTTATGATGTTTGATGAGAAGCGACTTCCATATAACTCAGATATGGGGAGCCTAACGGCAGCTTCAAAGTTTGCATTCCATGGTCTATACTGTTCTATTTGGCATATGTTTAAAGTGTCTACCTATAAGACGAGATTTCTCTTAAAGAATACCACATGCAGCTTATGGAACAAGGTGTAAAAGGTTCGCTAACCTCGTTTTCCCTTCATTGAGAACTCTGCTCTCCGGTATGGGTGCCTTTTCTGGACTTTTTTGGTGCATGTTAGTGGTTTATGCTTTCCATATGGGAGTCATTTTTATGTTAGCTTCTGAAAGCCCCAGCATGTGGGATTCTCTGTGGCTATCTTCCCTTTTGCAATATCCTGGATCGTATGGAAGGAAAGGAATGCTAGCATCTTTGTAAACTGATCCTCTCCATTGGATGCAGTGTGATAAGCTATTGGCATGGTTGTCTATCTCCAAAGGATTCGATGATGTGCCTATAACTCTCTGTATATTCAGCAGAAAAGGTATATATGTTGGTCTTTTTGTCCCCATTATATAGCTTCTGCTTTGTACATAGGTCTATACTTGTACATACAGTACCATTTTTAGTAACACTTTATCACATTACCGCTAAAAAATTGTTTATATTTTTCCAGTCTGTCATTTAGAGAAGACCCGTTGTTTTGAGTGTGGCTGCAATTGGTTTGGGTTAAAGTGTGGCTGAAATTTCAGCTGCAAATTTCTTGCCATGTAATCTTTTAGCAGTCAATCAAATATATATATATATATATATATATATATATATATATAAAGGAAGGTCTTCAGGTTATAACCTCCCACCATTCAGACATGTGGCATTTTCTGAGTAGTTAATGTTAAACCCCACAACCCACTACCACCATTCAGACATGTGGCATTTTCTGAGAAGTTAATGTTAAACCCCACAACCCACTACCACAATTCAGACCAATGGCCTTCTCATTTTCTAGAAAGCTAGACACATGGGAATTTTTGAAAAATTCTTATTAAAGCTCACAGCCCACTACCACCATTCAGACACGTGGCATCTTATTAATTTAAGAAATATGATTCAAAAAGTAGGTAGTTTCACTCCTAAACGATCTCATCACAATAGACAATTATTTATTAGCTTAACACATGTTTATCTATAGTCTATTAAATTCAAATAGTGGGACCCATTAAAAGATTACCATAAATGATTTTTTTTAAAAGGAAAATACTTTATTAATTACAAACTTGATTTAACTTTTAGGAAGCAACCTAATTTAACTTATAAAAATTAATAACTCAAAATAGATTTATTAGATAAATAGTAAATACCAAATAAAGTGGGTTATTATTTACCAATAAGATCTCATTTAATATCTTAAATCAAATTAATAAAGAACATAAATTAATAGTGGGTTTCAAATAAAATATGTCAGAATAGATTGTCAATTACAAAGATGCAAGACCCATATGATTTTTTTTAATTTAATTTTTGATAACTAAATAATAAACTTCAAACTATATTATAACACACATTTAGTTACCCCGTACTTAGTACGGGGTTATTCTCTAGTCTATATTATATAACTAAAATAATATTGTCCACGTCACATGGCCTGTTTTTCTCCAAAATCCTCATTCTATTTTTCTCTTTTTTGATTTTTTTTTTAATTCTCTAAGAATGGTATAACATGTGCCGCATGTAAACCTACCTTAAATATTCCCAACCCAAACCCCCTTTACCTAAAAGTACTCCTAAAATATCTCCCTTTTCTAACAATCGGAATTGCTACCCACAAAAACCCTACCCACACATACCCATAGGACATTACAGCTGCACATTGGAAATATCTCCCCATAAAAGACATGTTCGCCATCTGCGGCTGAAATAAAATGAAAAAAAAATGATAAATGGTTAAATAATTAAAAGTTGTTTACATAACTGATAAGGATTGATTACATAAATAAACAATGAAAAAATTAATAACTTACAACCTTAAGTTACTTAGTTGGCTTATCTTAAATAATTAACTTAATTAAATAAATCATATTAATTTAACTTTGTTAACAACTTCAATTCAAATAATTTTATAATACTAAATAATTGTTATTTCTAGTCACATTTCTAATTCAAAATCAATGTCTTAATTAATTTAGCTTAATAAATGAAATAAAAATTTGTTAAGCAATTAAAAATTGATCACATAATTAAAAAAGATTAATTACATAAAATGTAATTTAGGTTACTTAGCAACACAATAATTAAATTAGCTTGATAAAAGGAATAATTAAATTGGTCAAGCTTAATTAATTATTATTATTTATTCTATATACTAAAACGTGGTTGTCCATGTCAGCATCTAGGGGGTGCAATTTTCCCAATAAAATCAGGGCCTTGACCCAAGCCGCCACCAATGAGGTTGGGTTTCCTCAATCTTAAATGGAGACGGGAAAATTTTTTTGGCCTCAATCGAGGATGGGGTCTACATGGAATTCTCCACCCTTGCCCTGACCTACCCCTATACCGAATGGGGCAAGTTTCCCATAATTCTTATATGGAGATGGGAACAAAAACGATGATGGGGGATTGCTTCCCTGCAATCAGGGATGGATTTGGACCGGGCAGGGGATTTTGGCTGCAAGGTGGGAATGGAGAGACTCCGGATCACCTGCCCACTCTACTCACAACACACTATTCCCGTGAATTAAGAACATCTCCCCCTGCATAATACCATGTAGGAGGATGAAATGTTCTCCATGTGTAGCTGCGATGTTATGTGGGTAGAGTTTGTGTGGGCAGGAAATCCGGACTCGGATGGATAATGGGTGCATCACCCCATATCTGCCTTGCTGTCATCCTTATCTTCATCATCATCCACTCTCCCCTTTTAAGGGGTTATTATTTCAACACAGCCTGGTGCAAAAATTCCAAGCTTGGCCCTAAGCCCAATACTTTAGGCCCGACCCATATATATTTATGTATATGACAATCATATATAATTTAGACACATAAATATATAAAAATTAATTTTATTAACTTAAAAAGTTAATTTAAAAATAATAAAAATTTATCTAACAATAACTAATATGCATAAAATATTAATGAAATGAATAATTAACAAATATTGTTAAAATTTAAAAGTCGATTTAGATTCCATTTAAAATAATTAGTTTATTAATTGTAAAAATAATTTTTATTTTAAAGTCCATCTAAAATAATACACATTTATTGAAAAATACATCACAAAAATAAAACTTGGGTTGGTCTTTGACCAACTATCCCCAAATGGAAATGTCTCAAGGCTCCTTATACAGTTATACTTTAATTTCATTTAGCAAAGCCCATGCACTTGAAGCATAATTAATAAAAATAAAATTATTAGTAAAATCAATATCTATTTAAATTTAATTCAAGTGTAATAAGAAATAATAGAATCCAATAATATTTATCTAAAAAATAAAATTAATAAATATTATAAAAACTTATGGGACCATACATATAAACGCAAAAGGAACGCTTCAGGTGAATTTAGTTTGGCTTGGCCCAATTAGGAATGCTATGAGATTCTTTCTACTTTAATTTCTATTAACAAATTCTATGGCATGGGTTCTGACTTCTGAGTAGTGTTTTTAATCATTTTTATATTAATATTATGGACTCGACTATTATACAGGCAAAATTTTGTAACCAATGAAACCGTATCATAAAAGTGGTAAGTGGTAACTAGTTAGGTGGCATTTATCGGGGGTTTTGATTGGTCAAAGTCCTTTGGGTATCATGTCTTTCTGCATCATGGATTTTACAACCTTGAAAAATTAGATTTTGAATGGCTATTTCTTATACAGAAATAGAATTAATTTGGTTACTTGGCAAAGTTTAAAGTGTAAACAACCTAGTTATTTTACATGCATTTGGGGCCCAAAAATTCGTACTGTTCCCTTCCTCTCCAAATACCCATCAATTTGTCCCAGGGACTTGGCTAGATGTATAATATATTATATATTTGGTTCCGTTTACGTTTATTAAGTAAATGTTTATTGACAGTGCCACATAGGCACCCCATCAACAAATGCCTCATTTAAAGCAAACTTTGGTTTCTGAGTGTCTCCCATTTCAGGAAATTTCATTTTGGAGTTTCCTAAAACAGGTAGGTGTTTATTGGCATTTTACTGATATGGTGCCTAATAACACCTATGTGTCATAAACGCCTTCATTAGATATGTGTTTTTCAGTTTTAAAGTCGCACAAATACAAAACATTTATTAAATAAACATAAACGGAACCAAACACCCTGATAATTATTACCTTACATACACATCTGAACTCTGAAGGTTCTAATGACAAAAGAAAGTCCAAAACAGGCTATTAAGATGTAAAAATGACAGTAATATGGCAAAAGAAAGCCCTTATTTTAAGCATTTACTTAGAAAAATTACTTAGTTTACCCTCATTCTAGAGGAAGAATTCAAGTATTGTAGGGTAAGCTAAGCATACCAAATATGCAGCCAATTCTAAGAGAACCCTGTGTGATGACTGATGAATGGCCTTGCCTCTTGCGTGCGTATTCTTCAAATATTCTCAGGTTAGATACGTACAGTAGGCTCCCCAATCTGATATGGAGGATCTACATTGGTAAAAGCAGCATTGCTCCTCCAGCTCCAAGGGGTGGTGAATAGAACACAGTGTCGGAGCTAGAGAAGAAATTAAAAGTGATATCCGTCCGACTACAAGGCATTAGTTTTGGACGTACGTCGTTTCTGTGTTGTTGTGATGCCTGGTGTCGTCACTTCGCATATATCGAGAATGGAAACCACCAGCCCAACGAAGTTACAGGGAGCCCACATGTCTGCGACGGTTCTGCGCTGAATAAAACAATAACACGTGGTCGCTTGGTTTCTATCTGTTTTTGTTTTGGATCAACTCCTGTAGCGAGTAAAGGATAGCCAACAGATAAAGTAAATAAAGTAGTCACTGAATTCAATTAAAACGCCCTCTGTTTGGTACCAAACCAAAACAACCGGAAGTGGCCGCTGTTTTGTTATATGATAAATCCTTCTCCTTGAAGCATTTTTTGTGAAAGGTGGTGAGCGCTGGTTGACCCTTCCAAGACGGCCCAAAAGAAAATGGACCAGACTCCTCCATGTTTTTACCTTTTTTTTTCTAAAATAAAATAAATATTCTGCTCTAAATCTCATAGGAAAGAAGAGAAAACCGTGTTTAACGGTTTAACCCCTTTTTCAATTTTAATTTAATACACCCAAATTAAAGTGAGTTGCTGGGGCCTAAGCCCTAAAGGGTTTTTGTTTTGCTTGTCTTCAGAACACTGTTTTGAGAGAATCTGGTATGCTGGAAGTAGATTATGATCACCATTTGATTATCATCTTTAGCAGTTTTATGATTCTTCACCATTGACTTGATGATTCATGATTAAAGTAAAAATCCATTTGGAAGGTCCCACCCGAAGATTTTGGTCTGACAATTAATGGATGCTGATATAATGCAAGGGGCCACACTTGTACAAAATTACTTTATAATATTGTCTCCTTTTTAGTTTTGGGATAAGT